TTTGGACATATTGTCAGGAGGGACCAGTCACTGGAGAAGTATATCATGTTTGGTAGGGTGGAGGGTCAGAGAAAAAGAGGAAGACCCCCAGCGATATGGATTGGCTAAGTGGCAGCATCAATGGGCTCAAGTGTGGCAACGATAGTGAGGTTGGCCCAGGATCGGGCAGTGTTTCGTTCTGTTGTGCATAAGGTCGCTATGAGCTGGTACCGACTCGATGGCACCTAACAACAACAACAACCCTAAACTCTGGTAGTGTAGTGGTTACGAATTGGACTGCTAACCTCAAGGTCAGCAGTTTGAAACTACCAGCAGTTTCGCGGGAGAAAGATGAGGTTTTCTGCTCCCGTAAAGATTTACAGCCTCAGAAACCCTGTGCAGGGTTGCTGTGGGTCGGAACCGACTCAACAGCACTTAACCACAACAACCCTAAACTCATTTCCATCATGTCAGTTCAACTCATAGTGACTCTATAATACAGAGTAGAAGTGCCCCACAGGGTTTCCAAGGTTGTAATCTCCATGGAAGCAGGCTGCCACAGCTTTTTCCTGCAGAGCTGCTTGTGCAGTTCAAAATGCTGACCTTTTTGTTAGCCTCTTAGTGGAAGTGAAATGGTATTTCATTGTGCTATTAATTTGCATTTCTGTAATGTTGTTAAGTGCCGTTGAGTAGATTCTGACCCATAGGAACCCTGTATAGGGTTTCTGAGGAGCAACTGGTGAGCTTGAACCGCTGACCTTGTAGTTCAAATGGCTTTGCAGTCTGGTGCATTAACCCACAGTGCCATATCAGGACTTCATTTCTGTACTAGCTCATGACATTGAGTATCTGTTTGTATGCTTCTTGGCCATTTGAATATCCTCTTTGATGAAGTGACTGTTCATGCCCTTTGTCCATTTTTTGATTGGGTTATTTGTCTTTTAATAAAGTCTTTTGATGAACGCAAGTTTTTAATTTTTATGAGGTCTCAGTTAATATATTTTACTTGCTGCTTCTAGTGTATTTGTTGTCTTTGATAATGTATTTTTGAAAAAAGGTAGGTCCATAGCTTTGCTATTTGCTCCCAAGAACTTTATGGTTTTAGTAGTTCTTGGTCCAATTCTGAATTAGTTTGTATATAGTATGAAATGTAAATCTTGCTTCATTTTTCTGCATGTGGAAGTCCAGTTTTGTCTACACTATTTGTGTATTGCCCCAATGAGTGGATTTAACTCCCTTGATGAAGAAATACAATTGTTTGGATTTATTTCTAGGTTTTCAAGCCTATTCCATTTGTCTAAGTGTCTATCATTAAACCGGTATTATGCTGTTTTAAGGAGTACTGGTATGGCACTGTGTGTTAATACGCTGGACTGTAAAGTAGTTTAAACCTCAAGGTCAGCGGTTCAAGTCCGCCAGTTGCTTCTCAGAAATCCTATACAGGGTTGCTATGGGTTGGAATTGACTCGATGGCACTTAACAACAACAACAACATGTTTTAAAGGCGCTCTGGTAGCATAGTGGTTATGAGTTGGGCTGCTAACCTCAAGGTCAGTAGTTCAAAACTATCAGTTCTGCGGGAGAAAGATTTACAGCCTCAGAAACCCTATACAGGGTCGCTATGAGTCGGAACCAACTCCCTGTCACATAACCAACCAACCAACCATTCTGTTTTAAAGGAGTCCTGGTGTGGTCCTGTGGGATGAAGCACTGGACCACAAGGTCACTATGAGTTGAAACTGACGACACTATAAAGCAATAATGTGTTTTGATTCCTGTTGTTGTTAGTGTTAAGTGTTGTTGAGCTGATTGTGTAACATTTCCAAGGAGTGACTGGTGGGTTTGAACCACCAGCCTTGTGATTAGCAGTCCAATGCTTATCCTACAGCATCATACCAGGACTCCTTCCTAAGGAATGCAGCTTTGGAAACCCCATCGGGCAGATCTCTGCCTTCTAGGGGAGCTGTGAGCTGGAATTGACTCAGTGGCAAAGGGTTTGGTTTTTAGGTTTTGTCCTTCCATATAAAATTTTTTATCAGGATTGTGTATCTGTAGATCACTTTGGGTAGTACTGATATCTTGATTATATTAAGCCCTCCAGTCTATGAATACAGAATATTTTTCCATCTATTTAGGTCTGTAGTCTCTTCAGTGCTTTATAATTTTCATTATATAAATCTTTCACATCTCTGGAATTTATTCTTAGATATTTTATTCTCTTCAGTGCTATAAGTGGAGTCGTTTTCAGTTTTAAATTTAAATGAATTGTGGTATTGATACTATTTAGAAGATAGATTCCAGAAGAAACAGCTGAAAACATTGTCAAGTCGTTTTTTCTGGAGTGTTTGATATTAGATAAAGTCACAAATGTAACCATTAAGGAGGCTAAAACTAGAAACCAAAGTGCCCAAAGTGGCAGGAGCAGGAAGAAATACTTCCACTATTTTCTAACCTTGCCGAAACTTAAATGCCCCTTAAGTAGTTCGTCTCTCTTTCCTCCTTTTCTCAGTCCCTGGTGACCACTATAAACTTTGGTTTCTATATGTTTGCTTAGGCTAGCTAGTTCATGTAAGTGGGATCATATGATATTTGTCCTTTGTTTGCTTATTTTATTCTGCATAATGTTTTCAAGGTTCATTCCTGTCATAACATGTATCAGGACTTTGTTTCTCTTTGGCTGAGTGATATTTCATTGTCTTGACCACATTTAGTTTATCATCTGCTGAGGGATGGGTTGTTAGTACCTTTGGGCAATTACGAACAGTACTGCAGGAAACAATGGTGTGCACATATCTTTTGAGTACCTCCTTTCAAGTCCTTTTGGTGTATAGCTAGGAATCGAATTGCTGGGTTATAGTGTAATTCTATGTTTAATTTTTAGAGGAAGCTTCATTTTGTTTTTATTTAGATTTTAAAAGCCTTATGTATTAAATTCTTAGCCCTGCACAGATGTTGGGCTGCCCAGATGGAAAGGCCCATTCCCATTTCACCTCTAATAGGATAAACCAACTCCCATCTACTCGGGCAGAGCATTCCATATACTTGAGAATGAACTCTTCTTCTCACTCAAGTCTTTGTCTTTTTCTCCAAGCTGGACTTCAAATAATGTGAAAATATACTGTATTAGGCTGGGGAGGTGGTTGCAGTGAAAGAGCGAAGTTCTAACTCCCTTGTGTCTCTCTGTTCAGAACATGAATGGCTTTGAGGAAGGCGTGGAGTTCCTGCCAGTCAACAATGCCAAGAAAGTGGAGAAGCGGGGCCCGAAACGCTGGGTGGTGCTGGCAGCTATAATCACCAGCTTCTTCCTGTTATCTGTTTTGACTGGTGTCCTGGTGTGGTACTTCCAGTGTGAGTAAGACCAGGGGATTTGGCGCTGGGAAGGCAGTGTTGGGTGGCTATACCCTCTTCTTCAGTGAATATGCCCCAGGTCCACTTCATGGGTTCCACCCACTTCTGGTTGATGCGATATGAATGAGAGAGAGTAGTAGTTAAGGGATAGATTTTTGGGGTGAAGAGATTTTAAGGGCTCTCTCTTTCCTGCCTTTTTGAAGCTATAAGGAGAGAGTGATGGGAGGAGGAACAGGTTATGAGTCCCCTTGTCACCTCCTGATATTCACTCTTCCCAGGAAGTGTGGATGTAGGAGGGGGAGCATGTAGTTCCATTTCCTCTGACTGCTCTCCTTCCATGCTGTCCCCCAGATTGGAATGTGCGGGTCCAGAAGGTCTTCAATGGCCACCTGAGGATCAGAGATGAGAGCTTTGTAGATGCCTATGAGAACTCCAACTCCACAGAGTTTGTACACCTGGCCAACAAGGTGAAAGATGCGGTAAGTCCTATGGCTGGGTCCTGCCTCTTGCTTAGATACCCCCATCCATGGCAGAAGGACACCTGGTTTCTCTTCATCTATGACTCAGATCCCCGAGATGGAGAGGTGACATTGAAGCAGGGATGGGCATGGTAGGAATGGGATGTTCTGAGCCTCCTTTCTATCCTCAGCTGAAGGTGTTATACAGTGGAATCCCGTCCCTGGGTCCGTACCACAAAGAGTCAGCAGTAACTGCCTTCAGGTAGGTGTTGCAGAGAAGGTTGTGCTGGGAGAATGGGAACAGGAGGGGTGCTTTGGTCTTTCCGAGAATGGGATCAGTGTATGGTAGCACAGGAGGCCAAATACCTGGTGATCTGCAGAGTGGTGAAGCTTTGAGGTCCTGCCTCAGACAAGCCCAAAGTGTGAGTCCTTGTTGTGTCCTGTGAACAAGTTACTTAGTGCACTTATATTTTCTTAAATTGGGGAACTCGCTGGTGGTGTTACTAGGATGAAGTGAGCAGCAAATACAGGTAATGTGCATGGCACAGTGCCTGCCATAGAAGCCACACTCAGTCAAGGTAGCTATTATTAATATTATTAATATCTTTTGGATAGTTGAGTTTTGGGGAGTTGAGGTTCTCCAAAAGGCTTCCAGGAGTCCTCACCTTTTCCCTGTTTTGGCTATGTGTTAATAACTCATTCATGTATGTCTTTCTGGTTTTCATGTGGACTTTTTATATTGTTTATTTAACTTTCAACCTCATGAGTGCTGCATGGCAGGTGATAGTGTCACCTCATTTCTCAGACCAGTAATCAGACTCAGGAAAGTGGTACTCAGTGTGCTCAAGTGAGCGAGGGAACCAAAATTCCAGTCCTAAACATGAGTCGGTCCACTTGGGGACAGCTGTGCAACTGATGGAGCAAAGGGTAAAGCGACAAAATCCCTTGCTATGGAAATTAAAAGGTTGGTGAGAGTAAAAGAGGGTCTAGGGAACAGGGTGTCTTCTCGGAGCAGAGTCAGAGAAGTTTCTCTTAAGCTGATTTGTGGATGGCCTGAGCTGTCCAGTCTGCTTTGGGCAATCATGCAGAAGGAAGGGATATGCCCAGAGTGCAGTGACTCAGGTCCTTCTTCTTTCTCCAGCGAGGGCAGCGTCATCGCCTATTACTGGTCCGAATTCAGCATCCCACAGCACCTGGTGGGGGAGGCTGAACACGCCTTGGCGAAGGAACACATGGTCACTCTGCCACCCCGTTCTCGAGCTGTCAGCTCCTTTGTGATGACTTCTGTGGTAGCCTTCCGTGAGTCTAGGGAGGGAGGGTGGGCAGCTGTGAGGGCATGTGGTAGGAAAGGGCCAGCCTTTAATGGAGTGAGTGTGTCTGGGTTTTGACCATTCTTTTAAATTGTAGTGAGGATAAAGAACCAATACTTGCTGAGTCACGCATCGTAATGGGCACTTCCCACTAAGAGTTCCCACTGGAAGTAGGAATAATGGAGTAGACATCAATAATACTTTGTTCTCCCTCTTGTTCTTCAGCCACTGACCCCAGGGCAGTGCAGACGAACTGGGACAGTAAGTATATACCTTCCACTTTGACTTCCAGCTGACTAGAGAGGTGGATGGAGGATGTGGTCATGATGGCCCCTTAGTCAGGGGCCCAGAAGTCCCAGCAGTGGCAGCGCATTCCTTCACCTCTTCCAGACCCCTCTGAAATCCTCTTCCTTATCTCCCATATTTAGCTAGAGTGGCCCCCAGGGCAGTTGGGAGGGCACTCCCCTGGATCTCAGGTGGTCTCTTTACACCTTCCTACACCCTGTCTCCCTCACAGACAGCTGCAGCTTTGCCCTGCACACCCGAAGTGGGGAATGGACTCGCTTCACCACGCCCGGCTTCCCGAACAGTCCATACCCTGTACGAGCCCGTTGCCAGTGGGCCCTGAGAGGAGATGCAGACTCCATACTGAGTCTCACCTTCCGAAGCTTTGATCTTGCGTCTTGCGACGAGCGGGGCAGTGACATGGTTACTGTCTATGACAGCCTGAGTCCCATGGAGCCTCATGCAGTGGTGCAGTGAGTGTGGTGGTGGTGGTGGTGGTGGTGGGGAAGAGGGAAAGGTCCTCCTGGTGGGGCCAGGAATCATGGATGAAGTGCAGTATAGGACATACCAGGATTCCATTTTACATTTGGGTAGTCCACACGCATCATCAATCCATGAAGCTGCTGTTGCTCTAATGCTACAGATGAGGATACAAGTTATAACTCATGGCTGAAGCCCATCATACAACTTCCAGGTCTGGGCAGTGCTTCATTCTGTTGTGCACAGAGTTGCTGTTAGTTAGAATTGACTTGACAGCATCACTTAACAATAATGCAACTCTAATTTAGGATCATCACTGAACTACAAATCACAGGGTCAGCAGTTCAAGCCAACTATCTGCTACACAGGAAAAAGATGCTTCTGCAAAGACTTACAGCCTCAGAAATCCTATATGGGGTTACTAATGAGTCTGACTCGATGGCACATAACGGCAACAATTTATTTATTAGTTGTACAAAAGTAACAAGAAGACAAAAATAAACACCACACACATGAATAAAAACCACAAATAATCTCATTCTCTAGAAGTAGCCATTGGTTAAATTTTTGATGCATATTCTTTCAATCTTTTTGCTGTGTATATATATATATATTTAAAAATAAGATTATGTTATGCATTTAGTTTTTATATCTGCTTTTTAAAATTAGTTATATAGCATGATGATCTTTTCAGATCATTAGACCTGTCTCTAACCATAATCTTCAATGGTTACAAAGGCCACACTGGTTAGAGGCAGGGTGGTATAGTCATTAGGAGCATGGTCTCTGGAGCCTGAAGGCCTGAATTTGAGTCTCAGCCTTGCCACTTAGGAACTTTCTAATCTTGAACCTGATTCTGAGCTGTTTCAACTCCCTACTGATTTGGGGTAATTCACCTAATCACTTCTCTCTGGATCCTTGTCCTCTCAAAGTTCTTCCCATCTGTAAAGGGCCAGGGATCCCAAGGAGCCCTTCTCAGTGGGCACCACACACTGGAGAATTCCATTTCCTGGACACACGTTGGCATTCACATATCATCACAGCATAAGGATAGCAGTTGCAGATGTCCTTTAGGAGGGCAGACTGTGTGGCCCATGTCTTGGTAGTCAAGTCCATCCATATTAGCTGTGTTGCCATGGGAAAGGCAGGATCTTAAGAGAACCCACCTGAACCTGTGGGTTGTTTTGAGGAGTAAATAGAAAGCATGGGTCTGTGCAACCTTGGAGCCTGCTTCTAGCAATGATAGCTGGTGGTATTGAAATCACCTTCACATATGTGATCTTGGGGTGCTTGCTTCCACTGCACTCAATGCCAGCCATCAGTGGGCTTAGTTAGATAAGTGAGTCAACCAAGACAAAGGGACCTACAGGCCTGTCTAGTGGCTATCAAAGGAGGTTCTAAATCAAAGGAAGCGACTGGTAAAATCTGGAATTTAAGTCCCCCACTCCTTCTGAAGCTTTTTAAGGATGAGGCCTGTGGCAGTTTTTTGGTCTTGTTTGCCATGACTCTGAATTCTGTATTGACAGCTCTAATCATTTATCCATCAGTTTGTCATATTGTGGTAGCTTGTTTGGTTGCTGTGATGTTGGAAGCTATGCCACCAGTATTTCAAATACCAACAGGGTTATCCATGGTGGACAGGTTTCAGCAGAGTTTCCAGATTAAGGTAGACTAGGAAGAAAGAAGAGGGGATGCACTTCTGAAAAATAGAACTGAAAACTCTATGAATAGCAGGAGAACGTTGTCTGATATAGTGCTAGAAGATGAGCTCCTCAGGTTGGAAAATACTCAGATTTCGAGCTGGGAAGAGCTGACTCCTTAAATTAGAGTTGACCTTAATGACATGGATAGAACAAAGTGTTTCTGGACTTTGATTAGCTGATGTGACACAACTCAAAACGAGAAGAAACAGCTGTAAATCATAATAATTGGAATGTGGAATGTATGAAGTATGAATGCATGAACCTAAGAAAATTGGAAGTCATTATAAGTGAAATGGATATATAAAGATTGATATTGTGGGCATTATTGAGCTGTAATAGACTAGTATTGGCCATTTTGAATCAAACAATCATATAATTTAAGGTACTGGGAATTACATATGAAGAGAGCAGGGTTTCACTCATTGTTAAAAAGAACATTTCAAGATCTATTCTGAAGTACAACACCGACAGTGATGGGTCAATACTTTTATGTCTAGAAGGAAGCCCACTTATTAAAACTACTACTCAGTTGTTGTTTTTTAAATGCACTTCATCTATAATGAAAAAATAAGGAAACTGAAGATTTTTTTTTTATCATGTTCACACTCTACAGCTTGAAATTGATCAAACATGTAATCAAGTTGCATTGATAAGTGCTAATTAATAGAATGCTGAAGTTGGAAACAACAAAGATTGGCAAATATGGCCTTGGTGATAGAAACGACACTGGAGATCAGAATTTTGCAAGAACAATGATTAATTCTTTTCGAATATCTTTTTCAAGAATGTAAATGGCAACAATATATGTGAATACACAGGATGAAATACACAATAATCAAGTTGATTATATCTGTGGAAAGGGAGAAGCTCAGTATCATCATACAGAACAAGGCCAGGGGCTGATGACCACTAATTGCTTAGATGTAAGTTCAAGTTGAAGTTGAAGAAAATTAAAATAAGTCCATGAGAGCCAAAATATGACCTTGACTAAGTATCGCTTAAATTTAGAGACCATTCTAAGAACAGATTTGACACATTGAACACTAATGACCAAGACTAGACAAGCTTAATAATTTCTTTGATATCAAAGATATCATATTTGGATATCAAAGCTCCAGGAATTGGCAGAATACCAACTGAAATGTTTCAACAAATGAATACAGCGCTGGATTTGCTCACTCATCTATGCCATGAAATCTGGAAGAAAGCTGCTTTTCCAACCAACTGGAAGACATCCATATTCGTGCCCACTCCAAAGTAAGGTGATCCAACAACATGAATAAATTATTGAACGATATTATTAATACTAAACATAAGTAAATTTTTGTGGGGGAAGTAATTTAAAAATGGTTGCAGTAGTATATTGACAGGGAAATGTCAAGCTGGATTCAGAAGAGAAAGTGTAACGAGTGATATCACTGCTGATATCAGATGGGTCTTTGCTGAAAGCAGAGAAAACCAGGAAGATGTTTGCCTGTGCTTTATTGACTGTGCAAAGGCATTCAACTGTGTAGATCATAACAAAATTTGGATGAATTTCAAAGGATAAAATTCTATAGCACTTAATTGTGCTCATACAAACATGTACATAGACCAAGAGACATATTGTTGTTACACTATAACAGGAAGATTCTGCATGGTTTAAAATCAGGGTTGTATCCCTTCACCTTACTTATTCAGTCTGTATACTGAGCAGCTGATTTATATGAAGAGGAATGTGGCAACAGGATTGAAGGAAGACTCATCAACAACCTGTGTGAAATGCAGATGACACAACCTTGTTTGCTGAAAGCAAAGAGGACTTGGAACATTTACTGATGAATATCAAAGACTATAACCTTCAATATGGATTACATCTCAACATAAAGAAGTTCTCACAACTGGCCCAATAAGCAACATCACAATAAACAAGAAAGGTTGAAGTTGTCAGGGATTTCATTTTACTTAGAGCTGTAATCAACACTCATGGAAACAGCAGTCAAGAAATAAAATTAGGTAATACATTGGACAAATCTGCTGCAAATGATCTCTTTAAAGTGTTGAAAAGCTAAGATGTCACTTTGAAGATTATGGTGTGCCTGACCCAAGCCATGGTATTTTCAGTTGTCTTATTCATAGACTATGCCAAAGCTGGTCTATGAATAAGAAAGACTGATGCCTTTGAACTATGATGTTGTTTAAGAATACAGAAAAATTGGAAATTGTCAAAAATGAAATGGAACACATAAAGATCAATATCGTAGGCATTAGTGAGCTGAATTGGACTGGTATTGGCCATTTTGAACCTGAAAATCATATGGTTAACAATGCCAAGAATGCCAAATTGAAGAATGACTTCATATTCATCATCAAAAAGAACATTTCAAAATCTATCTTGAAATATAAAGCTGTTTGTGATAGAATAACATCCATTTGCCTACAAGGAAGTCCAGTTAATTCCACTATTATCTAAAGTCCCAAACCAACTAATAAAAGACAGTGTAGATGAAATTGAAGAATTCTACCAACTTCTTCAATCTGAAATTGATCAAACATGCAATCAAAGTGTACTGATCATTACTGGTGATTGGAATGCAAAAATTAGGAACAAAGAGGAAGGCTGAGTAGTTGGAAAATATGGCCTTGGTGATAAAAACAATGCTGGAGCTTGCGTGATAGAATTTTGCAAGGCCAATGATTTGTTCATTGCAAATACCTTTTTTAAACAACATAAAATATGACTGTACACATGAACCTCACTAGATGGCATAAACAGAAATCAAATTGACTACATCTCTGGAAAGAGATGGTGGAAAAGCACCATATAAACAAGGCCAGGAACCACTGTGGAAGAGACCATCAGTTGTTCTTTTGGAAATTCAAGTTGAAGCTGAAGAAAATAAAAGAGTCCACAATAGCCAAAATTTAACCTTGAACACATCCCACCTGAACCTAGAAATCATCTCAATAACAGATTTGATGCATTAGATCCTAGTGACCAAAACCCAGAAAAATTGTAGGATGATATCTAGAACATCATACAGGAAGAAATCAAAAGGTCATTAAAAAGCCGAGAAAGAAGGAAAAGATGAAAATGGATGTGAGAAGAGACTCTGAAACTTGCTCTCCAATGTAGATAGAAATGTTAATGTGCCTGCAAGAAATGAGGAAGTAAAAGAACTGAAAAGAAAATTTCAAAGGGCAGCTTGAGAAGATAAAGTCAAGTGTTATAATGAAATATGCAAAGACATGGAGTTAGGAAAGCATTTCTCAAACTGAAATGAATATAAATAAATAAATAATTAAGCCTCAACTTGAAATATTGAGGGATTCTATGAGCAAATGTTGAATGATGCAGAAAGCATCAAAAGAAGATGAAGGTATACACAAAGTCATTGTACCAAAAGAAATGGACCATGTCCAACAATTTCAAGAGGTAGCACACAATCAAGAGCCAGTGGTAGTGATGGAAGAAGTCCATGGTGCACTGAAGGAATTGTCAAAGAACAAGACTCCAAAGATTGAAATCTTTCAACAAACTGATGCAGCACTGGAGGCACTCACTTTCTATGCCAAGAAATTTGGAAGATAGCTACCTGGCCAACTGATTAGAAGAGATCCATATTTGTGCACATTCCAAAAAGAGATGACCCAACAGAATGTGGGAAATATCGGACAATATCATTAATATCACATGCATATAAAATTTTACTAAAGATAGTTAAAAGATGAATGTAACAGTACATGAACAGCGAACTGCCAGAGGTTCAGATAGATTCAGATGAGAGCATGGAACTAGGAATATTATAGCTGACATCAGTTGGATCTTTTTTTTTTTTATTTGAACATGATTTTATTTATGCCTTGTTGTTGTTGTTGTTGTTAAGTGCCGTCGAGTCGGTTTCGACCCATAGCGACCCTGAATAGGGTTTCCGAGGCTGTAAATCTTTACGGGAGCAGATCGCCTCATCTTTCTCCCGCGGAGCAGCTGGTAGTTTCGAACTGCTGACCTTCCGGTTCACAGCCCGATTCGTAACCACTACGCTACCAGAGCTCCTTAGTGTCCACATAATTCTTCCTTTAATCTTAAAGTTCAGTAAATGTCATCAGTCTACAAATTCATCTTCATTTATCTTAAAAAATGTTACCCTCTTATATCTTTGAATTTATATTCATGTATTTTCCATTTTAAGCCTTTATGAAGAAGGTAATGTATTTTCTTTTGGATTTTATTTCTCTCTGCTTCATATCTGTTATCTTCCCTGTAAATTGTTTTCATATTTGTAGTGTTTTCCATTTTATTTTATAATATTTCTTAAAGCATATTCTCTATGTCCTTATCTATTTCTAAAATATTATTATAATTATTCTATTTCTGGTTGTTTCTTAATGTAACTTATCTTTCTAATGTTATTTTTTAATTTTTATTATTATTTTTTAATTAAGGTTTTTATTGTGGATTGAGTGAAAGTTTACAGGGCATATCATCAGTTTCACATTCAGCCATTCATATGACTTGTTTCATTACATTGATTACATTCCCCTCCATACATCATCAGTCAACAGTGCATCAGTTGGATCTTGGCTGAAAGCAGAGAATACCAGAAAGATGTTTACTTGTGCTTTATTGACTCTACAGAGGTATTCGACTGTGAGAATTATGACAAGCAATGGATAACATTGCAAAGAATAAGTATTCCGGAACACTTAATTGTGCTCATGAGGAAACTATACATAGACCAAGAGGCAGTCATTCCAACAGCACAAGGGACATTGAATAGTTTAAAATCAGGAAAGGTGTGCACCACAGTTGTATTCTTTCACCATACTTATTCAATCTGTATGTGAGCCAATAACCTGAGAAACTGGATTATATGAAGATGAACATGGTATAGGATATGCAGATGATACAACCTTGCTTGTTGAAGGCAAAGAGGACTAAAATACTTACTGATGAAGATCAAAGACCACAGCCTTCGGTATGAGTTTCACTTCAATATAAAGAAAATAAAAACCCTCACCACTGGACCAATAAATAACATGATAAATGGAGTAAACATTGAGGTTGTCAGAGTCTTCATTTTGCTTGATCCGCCATCAACACTCATGGAAGCAGCAGTCAAGAAATCAAATCTGCTGCGCAAGAAAGACCTTTTTTTGTCAGTTTTAGGACTAAGGTGCACCTGAACCCAAGACAGTGTATTTTCAGTAGCTTCATATGCATGTGACAGTTGGACAGTGAATAAAGGAAGATTGTAGAAGAATTAATGCATTGAGTTATGGTGTTAGAAAAGACTTAAGTACTGTGGACTGCAGGAAGAACAGACAAATCTGTGTTGGAAGTACAGCCAGAATTCTCCTTAGAAGTCAAGAAGGTGAGACTTCGTCTCTTATATTTCAGATGTACTATCATCAGGAAGCAGTCTCTGGAGAAGGCCATTATGCTTGGTAAAGTGGAGGGTCAGCGAAAAAGAGGAGACCCCACTGAGATGGATTGGCACAGAGGCAACAGCAGTGGGCTCAAGCTTAATGATTGTGAGGAAGGCACAGAACTGGGTAGTGTTTTGTTGTGTTGTGTATAAATAAGGTCGCCATGAGTCAGAACCGACCCGAAGGCACCTAACAACAATAAGAATATTAAATGTGAGGGACTTCAAAAAGCTTGTGGAAAAATAAATTAAAACATAATGAAAATTTCCATAACCTGTTGTTGTTGTTAAGTGCTGTCAAGTCGGTTCTGACCCATAGCGACCCATAGGGTTTCCAAGGAGAGGCTGGTGAGTTTGAACCACCAACTTCGTTGCTAAAACTGACTTTGAAGTCCAGTGCATTAGCCCACAGTGTCATACCAGGACTCCATAACCTTTAGAAGCCCCCTCATATACCTTGGAATGAACCCTGGTAGCATGGTGGGGTACGGTTGGACTGCTTAACCAAAAGTTCAGCAGTTAGAATCTACCAGTGCCTCCTAAGGAGAAAAATGAGGCTTTCTCTTCCCATAATGATTTACAACCACGGAAACCCTATACAGAGTCATTAGAAGTCAGCATTAACTGCATGGCACACCACCACCACCACCACATATAACTTGGACTGCCAGAAGAATTAACAAATACATCTATGCTAGAAGTACAATCAGAATTGTCTTTAGAATTGAAGATTGTGAGACTTTGTCTCACATACTTTGGACAAGTCATCAGAAGGCCGTCAGCCCTTGGACAAGGTAGAGATTCAGTGACAAATAGGAACACCCTCAACAAAATGGATTTACACATTGGCTGGAACAGTGGGCTCCAACGATTATGAGGATGGTACGGTGTTTTGTTCTGTTGAACATATCAGTCAGAAATGACATGATGTTGCTGCTGTTAGGTGCTGTTGAGTTGTTTTTGACCCATGGCAACCCTATGTACCACAGAATGAAACACTGCCTGGTCCTGCTCCCTTCTCCTAGTTGCTGCTCTGCTTGAGCCCATTACTGCTGTAAATGTGACCTTGAACACATCTCATCTGAATTAAGAGATCATTCTTAAGACTTGATGGCACTTTGCAATAACCACATTTTTTAGCAAGCTATCTAATCTCTCTTTCCTTATCTGTAAAATAGAGATAACAGTATTCACTTACAAGGTTGCTATAGGAATGAGGTGGGTAATTAGATACAAAAGTACTAAGAACAGTGCCTGGCATGGTCTTGTCAATATTGGTTGTGTTGATATTTCTATATGACTGCTATTGTTTTTATTCAGTCCACAGTGGATTTAATATATTCTCTATTGTTAGACATTCAGTGTGTCTAAGATTTTGCTGTTTCAAAGACAAACAGGATAATAACTAAATCCTTACTTCCTTGATTACTCAGGTAAGTGTGGGATGGACTTACCTGAGTTTCTTTTAAGCCCCACCCTTGAACCTTTGTAGCTGGAACATTTAAACGATATTTTAACTATACTTTCTTGTCATTAAGTGCCATCAAGTCCATTGTAACTCTATATAGGGTTTCCTCATAGCAGTTGGTGAGTTTGAACTGCTGACCTTGAGGTTATCAGTTCAATGCTTTTCCTGAGGTGCCACCCCAGACCTCCTACCTATACTTAGAAATCCAAATTTTAGTTAAAATACAGCTGCGTGACCAAACTTATCTGTGCAGTGGCAGTGAAAGCAGCTCCCACAGCCCTCCTCGGCTGATGACTGACAGCTTCTTGTTGACATCAGTTGTCAGGGGGCCCCCGATTTCAGAAACATGAAAATGTGGAAAATATTTCAAAATTAAGGAAGTGTGCCACTGCTGTTTTACATTTGGGTAGTGTAGCACGCTAGCCCATTTAACTGCTGCTGCTCCCATGTGGAAGTAGAGATGCCTGGGACAGGTAAGAATTGGGACAGGCAGGGATGACAAGGCAGCTTTTATGGCTCCTCTGTCCTTTGGGTCCCCTCTGTGTGGACTGCAGACAAGTTTGTGGGAAATTCAGGCTCTGTCTGCTTTCCCTAACACCTGCCTCCTTCTGCCCACCCCACAGGCTATGTGGCACCTACCCTCCCTCCTACAACCTGACCTTCCTCTCCTCTCAGAACGTCTTGCTCGTCACTCTGATCACCAATACTGAGCGGCGACATCCGGGCTTTGAAGCCGTGTTCTTCCAGCTGCCCAAGATCAGCAGTAAGGAGGGGCAGGGTAGGTGGACTGTCCACTAGCAAAGAGGAGAGCTTGTACCTGGAGGGTGATCTGGGCCAAGGGACCACAGGCTAAAATAGTGACCAGTGAACTGGCTCAGGTCAGTGAGAGAAGTTTGAGCTTTAAACCAATAGCCATTTTGCTGGTCACCTGGGTCAGGAGCCTTCCCTACAGCAGTGAGTCCACTCCTCAGACTGTCCCCAGCCAGCTGGTCAGTGTCCAGTTATTCATGCATGCAGCACTTCTCTCTTGTGAGGTTGGCTTGAGAAGAGTGCAGTGCTTGTCCCAGTCCTGTTTTTCTCAGGGAGCAGAGCCAACTCCGTCAGCCTCCTAGGCCAAACTGGTCCTTGGGCCCTCATGTTGTCTCTCTTGCCCTTTCCTCTCAGGGTGTGGAGGTTACTTCCGTCAAACCCAAGGAACATTTTACAGTCCCTATTACCCAGGCCACTACCCACCCAATATTGACTGTACGTGGAACATTGAGGTAGGTGGTTTGTGTGAGAGAGATGGATGCTCCGGGGGGGCTCACAGGAAGCACAGGGAAAGGGAAGACTGAACTCTCTCAGAAAGCCCAGGAGGCCCATATCTGAGTCCCACAGGCTCACACAGACTTCGTTCAGATCGTCCATTTTGACACCACAGACCCAGGCCCAGACCATGGCTCCATCAGCAGTTATTGGCTGAGGTACTTTGGCCCAGTTATTAGTCTCTCTATGCCTCAGTGTACTTATTGGTAAAGTGAGGGCACTGGTGTCTATTTGTTGGACGTGCTGTGAAGATTAAGTCTGAGAACCTGAACTTGTTCAGCTACAGCGAGAAATCTTCCTGATAGGTCTACGCTTCACTACGTCCCAGAGATGCAGTAACAGCTGGGGAACTCTTCAGCCTTCTCTCATAATGCAATCCTGTTTCCTGCCCCGATCTAGAAGTTCTGAACATCTAACTTGAAATATTTCCATTTTGTGTTCCATGTTGGCCACATGAGCTCAGTTTGGTAGATGGTAACCAAGAAATTAAGAGGGAAAGGAAAAACTTCAGCAACAATGTTGTTGCTCCCCTTTTCTACTCCCCACAACCCCTATATACCATCCCGGGGTGTAGGATCCAGGGAAAGAAGCAACAGAGCCCTAGCAGTAGCTTTCTCTTCAGGTGCCCAACAACCAGTATGTGAAGGTGCAGTTCAAAGTCTTCTACTTGGTGGAGCCCAACATGCCACCAGCCACCTGCACCAAGGACTACGTGGAAGTCAACGGGGAGAAGTGCGTACCATGGGGTCTGAGGGCAGCCTGACCACATCCTGGGGTGGTGTGGGAAGGCAGACTCCTCCAAGCTCCTGGTCTCACTGCTGTACCCTCCCATCCAGGTACTGTGGAGAGAAGTCCCAGTTCGTTGTCACCAGCAACAGCAGCAAGATCACAGTCCGCTTCCACTCAGACCATTCCTACACAGACACAGGCTTCCTGGCACAGTACCTCTCCTATGACTCCAGTGACCGTGAGTGAATAGTTAGGGGATTACTCAGCCACCTTTCGAAAATAATCTTGCTTCAAGGATCCACCCAAGTTGGACTATTGACTCTGTTTTGTGAACATTGTGTTTTCCAAATGGAAGGCTCCAGAGAAGTTACGATGTATATCACTTGAGTAGCTTTATTGGTGGGGGAAATGCAACTTCAGTGTACTTATTTTAAAAGCCTGACAATGCACAGTTACCCACTGTGTCCCTCAGGGCTGCACTTAAGGTGGGCAGGCTGAGCTGGGGCACCCCTCAGTCCCTCTGGCGTCATTCCTGTGGTGCAGCCTCAAGTTACGTTAATATCTAGCTGGGCTTGTCTTAGGGACCTTTTAGCATCTCTAGGATCAATAGCAAAATTGTCTGAGACATTTTTGGAAATACTGTAGCTTTGGTTTGTAATTTCTCTTTTGTTAGCCCCATAGTTTCATGTTTTCTACTAATATGGAGTTAAATTGCTTCACCATCAGCCAGCATTTTTGACCAGTGCTATTAGCTGGAGGGTGGTGGTTAATCATATGGAAGGAATTGTCACACTAATCACAACGTGGCTCTGAAAACTTGTGATCTGCAGCTATGAGATCTAGCAGTTCTTCCACGGATGTTTTGTTTCAACCCTGCACCTCTGGAAGATATTTTAATTCTATTTAGGAATCCAAAATTAAGTTAACATTCCACTGCATAGCGTACAAACAAATTGGATGAATAAACTCACCTTTGATAGGGTTGAAGCTTACCTGTATTTGATGTACTATGTACAATCAAATACAGTTCAACTCATAGTGACCCTATAGGGCAGACTGAAACTGCCCATTATGATTTCCTAGGTTGGAAATTTTTGCAGGAACAGATTGCCAGGTGGGTTGGAACTGCCAGTCTTTTGGTTAGCAGCCAAGTGTTTAATCATTGTGCCACTGCCACCAGGGCTGTGTAGGGACAGTAATAGCAACCTCTTTCATCTGCCTGGCCACAACTCCATTTTGACACCAATTGTTAAGGGTGTCCCAATTTCAGAAACATTGAACTGTGGGAAGTAGCTTGGAATTAAGGAGGTGTGACAATGCTGTTTACATTAGGATAATGCTATTGTTCCCAGGTTAGAGGGAAGGCGTTTGGGATAGGTGATGATCGTCACAGGCAAGGATAGGCAAGGACTGAGTGCACACCCAGAACACAGACCAGCCTCTATACAGGGTTTTCAATCACCAGAAGCCAGTCTCACTAACCAGGGAGTCCACAGAAGGGAGCACATTTTTGGGCATGGGAGAACCTGTCCTGAGGCCCCAGGTCTAGCCATTTCCTGTCTGTGTGAGGTGGAAAGAACTTTCTGTCCTGAGTGTGACTGTGCAGTTGCCCAGGGGAGCGGGGTGCAGGCACAAGCTGTGGGAGGCTGTGGACTTCAGGTTTGTGTGTGCCCACAGCGTGCCCTGGCATGTTTACCTGCAACACGGGACGGTGCATCCAGAATGCTCGGCGCTGTGACGGCTGGGCTGACTGTGCTGACTACAGTGACGAGCTCAACTGTGGTGAGTCTGTGCTCTGGGACCTGGACCCAGGCCCCTCACTGCCACCTGCCCCTGCCAGGTCCCACGAATCTCCCCCTTGTGTGGGAATCCATCAGAGGCGTCTTCCCATACCTCTGCTGTTTGGGAATCCTTTTGTCAGAACAGCAGTGCTGAAGTCAGCTTCCATAGCTAGTAGAGCACGGACACTCTAGTTGCCACTGTGCAGATGGGAATGTGTTCCTAGGCACTCACAGCATTACCCAGAAGTGGTGAATAATGCCACTAAAGCCCAGGTCCCAGCTGAGCCTGGGCGGCTGACCTCCATCTCTCCTCACCTCTCCAGTATGCAATGCCACATACCAGTTCATGTGCAAAAACAAGTTTTGCAAGCCCCTCTTCTGGGTCTGCGACACTGTGAACGACTGTGGAGACAACAGTGATGAGCTGGGGTGCCGTGAGTGCTCATTGGGGGGCTCTCCCTGGGGAGGGGCTGCTTCCTTGCAGCTGATGCTCATTGGGTGACCGGCCATGGGGACTGGGCTGGATGCATTAGTAGCCATCCTTATACACGTTTCCCAGGTTGTCCAGCCCAGACTTTCAAATGTGGCAATGGGAAGTGCCTCCCACTGAGCCAGAAGTGTGACGGGAAGGACAACTGTGGGGATGGATCTGATGAAGCCACGTGTGACAAAGGTGAGCACTGGCACAAAGGTCACATGGGGGTTGGAGGGAGCATAGGTATGGTGGCCTGAGTGGGCTGGGGTGCCATCCTGAGACCTCTGTCTTGGGGGCCTGTGGCCAGATGCTGCCGAGGAGTTGATTCCGTTTTCTCTGCTCTCCTTGTGCAGTGAGCACCGTCACCTGCACCAAGCACACCTATCGCTGCCGCAACGGGCTCTGTGTGAGCAAGGGCAACCCCGAGTGTGATGGGAAGAAGGACTGCAGCGATGGCTCAGATGAAAAGGATTGTGGTGAGCAGGCCTACTGGGACAACTTTGCAGGTTGTTCACTGTACAAGGAACCCATCTAACGGGGTACCAGGAGGCTGAGATCAGGCCAGCACCTCACTCTCCAACACCTGTACCCTCTGAGGGGTCGTGTCTGTCTGGAGGAGAGGATGGCTTTTTCTAGATGATTTAAAATCTTCCTGTGTTAGCTGTGGTCCTGATGGGGAAGCCCTGAGGGATTAGCACACTAGCTGCCCTGGGGCACAGCTGCAGTGCCTGGGCTGCCCCTGTAGTGTGGACAGCAGCCCAGCGTGCACAGAACACTGTGGCATCTGCCCTCCTGTAGGAGAGACCACTGCTTACCTGAGCTGTGCTATTCACCATGTCCACTAACCTGCCCTTTAATTTGCAGCCTATTGTGTTATGGAAAGTACTGGTGGAGCTGCTTTCCCTAACATCCTTCCTCCCCTCTGAGAACTGGGACCTTTGGCATTCAACAAGATCTATGTAAATCATATCCATAGCAGATCTGCCCCTGGATGCATTGTGCAGGATAGAGGAGGTGGGGAAATACGGGGTTTGAATCTGAAAGTAGGAGAAAGGGAAGAGGCGAGGGCTCTGAGGCTAGAAGATGCTTCTAGTTGTTCCCTGTGCCTCACCTACTTAGCGTGCACAGCCGGAGCAGCTTCCCCAGACATGCTCTCCCTCTGAGGTGCTGAGCCTGGTACAGTGCCCCTGAAGTCCCATGTGCCCTCGACTCACAGCCCTTCGGGGCTCTTTGCATCTCCAGACTGTGGGCAGCGGTCGTTCAGCAGACAGTCGCGAGTTGTTGGGGGCCAGGATGCGGATGAAGGCGAGTGGCCCTGGCAGGTGAGCCTGCATGCCCTGGGCCAGGGTCATGTCTGTGGAGCCTCACTCATCTCTACCAACTGGCTGGTCTCCGCAGCACACTGCCACGCTGACGACAGAGGGTTCAAGTGAGTCCCTGGCTGGGGGCGGGGCAGCCTCCTGCTGGCTCTGCTTTCTGGGATTGGGAAGTCCTCCTGTGTCTGTGACTCTTGGGGGAGGGGTGGTACTTGGGCAGACTGGGACTGGAGAGGAAGGCAGGGCTGGGCAATGGCAGTAATGATGAAGCTGACTTTCATTAGGTCATGCTGTCCAGCATACTGTGAGGGCCTCTTCCAGCTACCTGATTAGGGAGATCATGTTGTATCCTCCATGTCGCTGGGTAGTGCAAAAGGTTAACGTGGTTGGCTGGTCTGGCAGTTGACTGTGGAAAATTCTCCATTGAAAGCTGTGGAGCACAGTTCTGCTCTGATACACATGGGTTTGCCTTGAGTCAGGAGTGACTGTACTGCAACTGAAATGGGATGGTGTGCTCACTTTCTAGAAGCTGAGGTTAAGTGGGTAAGGAAATGTGCCTAGGGTGGCACAAATAAAGCACTGGACTGCAAGGTCGATGGTTCAAATCCATCAGCCACTCCTTGGAAACCCTTTACAGAGTTGCTATGAATCCGAACTGAATTGATGGCACTTAACAACAACATTAGTTGAAAGGTTGGTAGTTTGAACACACTTAGAGGTGCCTCTCCTTCAGAAAACCCTATGGAGCAGTTCTACTCTGGCACACAATGATGTCACCAGAGTTGGAATCTACTTGACAGCAGCTAACAACACACAGCTGTTAGGTGCCAGAGGCAGACGTGATTCCAGGCTGGTTTGGTTTCAAAACCTGTGCTGAGAACCTCCATAGTGCACAGACTCGCTAGCATTGGTTAAAGACCAGCTGTGACTTTTTGGGGGACCTTGGACGAGTTGTCCAAACTTCTTATGCCTCAGCTATTTTATGGATAATGGTGACACTATTAGCCCTGGTGTGGCACTGTTGGTTAATGCACTGGACTTGCAGCTCAGTTTGAACTGCAAGGTTGGCAGTTCAAGCTCACCAGCCACTCCTTGGAAACCCTATATAGGGTCACTATGAGTTGGAACTGACTTGACAGCACTAAACAGCAACAATATTTAATCCTTAGTTTAGAGTTGTGAGAACTAAGTATGATCATGCATTTGAAACACTTAGTACATTGTAGGTGCTCAGGACACTGTAGCCTTAGATACATAAGCAGACAAGAGGCCTAGTCCAATGAAGGTAGCTTCTAAAGTCACTAAGGAAGGGCTGGGCTAGCATCTCAGGACTAGATAGGCAGGATCCAGAGACTGGAGGTCAAAGGGTCAAGAGATATGGGTGGCACCCTCTGGTGTGGGTGACATTGGCTGCTGGGAGATGTTTCAGAAAACAGCTTGCTCCTGAACAAACAGGGAATGAGGAGGAGACTCCTACTTGCAAGAGGTTCCCACACTTAGAGCCTTCCTGCTGTGTGATAGCTGCTCTGCAGCCAGCAGCTCCATGACAAGGTAGCCCAGGCCGCCATGAGTGGGGAGAGCGAGGAGAGCAAGGATGCAAAGGGCTGGCCTAGCGGAGCCAGTTCATGGCCCTGGGGTTGTTGAAGTGTGATCTTTTCATCCTGAGTCTGTCCTTCCTCACCTTATTTTGTCACACTGCTCTCCATCCTTTGTGGAGATGACTTTCTTTGGGGACTGATGGGAGTTTAAGAATTTTTTAAAATAAATTTTTAGGTTGGAATAAATTTACATACATAAAAGAGTTTCAAGATTGTATAGATTCCAGCTGTGTGATCTTGGGCAAGTAGAGTAGAGCGCTCAGAATAATGCTTGGTAGTCCCCATATACCCGTAATGTTTCTCCTAACTCAGTTTCTCCTAATGTTAACATGGTATGCTTGTCAGCACTAACAAGTTAACACTGTGCCATTACTATTAACCAAACTCCAGACTTGTGGGATTTCTCACATATTTACAGAGTTGTCCTCTTTCTGTTTAGGAGTCACCCAGGATACTGCATTGCATTTTGTTCTCCTGTTTTCCCAGTCCCCTCTGATCTGTGACAATGTCTCAGTCTTTTCCTTATTTCAGGCTTGGCCAAGGGTCTTGTAGAAAGTTCCTCCATCTAGGTTTATCAGATGTTTTTCTCATGATTAGACTAGACTTCTACATTTTTGGATGGAAGCCCACAGAGGTAAAATACCTACCTCATCACATCATATAAGTGGGTGTCTTTAGGCTCCTAGTGATGCTGTAACAGAGATATAACAAATGGGTTCTTTAAAGAACAGAAATTTATTGTATTGTTTTAAAACTTTTTATAAGGAGCTCTGGTAGCGTAGTGGTTACGAATCGGGCTGCGAACCTTAAGGTCAGCGGTTCGAAACTACCAGCCGCTCCGCGGGAGAAAGATGAGGCTTTCTACTCCCGTAAAGATTTACACCCTCGGAAACCCTGTACAGGGTCGCTATGGGTCGGAACCGACTCGACGGCACTTAACAACAACAACAACATTGTGAATTGAGGGAAAGCTTACAGACAAGATCATCAGCTCTACATTCAGCAAATTATACACATTGTTTCATGTCAGTGATTAGAATCCCCTCCATGTAATGATAGTTTTCCTACTTCTTCCCTGTGGTTCCCCATTTACATCTTATATTTCACAAATGGACAAAGCACAAATATTTGATGTACACATATAAAACAAAAATATATATATTCATTTAAATGTCCAAATGGCACATTCGACAAGCCAGCCTCCTGCCTGCAGGCACACAGCCTTACTAGTCCATGGGCTTAGAGTCTGCAGCTGCTCTGTCTCTCCATATACTGTCTCTGCCACCATCTGTTCTGTCACTGCTTTTCTTCTGGATGGTCCTGTTCATGTTTTCTGTTTTGGTCTTTTAACCCAAGATCCAATCAAAGATTTGTATTTAGTCACTAGGTCTCTCTAGCCTTCTTTTTGGAGTCCTGGTGTGGTGCTGTGGGTTAATGGGCTGGACTGCAAGGTCGGTTTGGATCACAAGGTCAGTGGTTCATGCTCACCAGCCGCTCTTCAGAAAGCCTGCACAGGGTCACTGTGGGTTGGAACCGACTCAACAGCACTTAACAATGACAACAAAGTCTTCTTTTTGCTTCTCGTTTATCTAGAACAGTTCTCCCAAGCCTTTTACTTTTGGTCTATGATGCCACTGACATTTTTGGAGAAGTCCAGAACAATTATTTTGCAAATTCCCTCTGTGGATTTTTCTGATTGTTTCTTTGTGATTAGATCCAGCTTAAGTATTGTTTTCAGAAAACATGAATAACGTGTTTCCTTCTCAGTGTACCATATCAGGGGGCACATGATGTCCTATGAATGGGGACGATCAGGTAGGGTCCATCAGCTTCTCCATTAGAAGGTGTTTACCGCCCCCTTTATAATAAATCTTGGGTGATGCTTTGGATGGCTGAATATCCTGTTCCTATTCCATCCAATGGTTTTAATACCCATTAACGAATTTTGCATGTATTGATTATTGCTATAGCAGCAGCAAAACAATTGTTTCTTTTTAAACTTTATTGTGATTTGGTTGAAAGCTAACAGAGCAAATTAATTTTCCATCCAACCACATGTCCACATTTTGAACCATGATACTGAGTGACGTCCCCGTGGTGTAACAGCATTTTCCCCACGTGCTCCTTGTCTTTAGTTTCCCTTTCTCCTCCTTTCTTATTCCTTTCTGCTGTCTGAGCTTTATCCAGGGTAAATGCTGTCCTTTTGATCTTGAATTGTTGATTGTTCCTAAGTAGTGTGTACCTACCTGGTATTATTGTTCATTTTATAGACCTGCCTGTTGTTTGGCTGAAAATTGAGCTCTGGGGATGAGTTCCGTTCCAGATTTGAAGGGTGTCTAACTACCATGGTTGTGAGGAGTCTGCTAGTTTCTATCAGATCAGTAAGCCTGTTTTTTGGTGTGTTTTTTTATGATTTCATTTTATTCCAAATTTTTCTATCTTCTATTGTGATCCTTTTCAGAGTGATTGGCAGTGGTAACCAGGATCCATCAGTTCTTCTGGACTCAGGGTCTTAGGGCTGGGGTTCATGTGGTCCATTAGTCCTTTGACTAGTTGTTTGTTATGTCTTTGTCTTCATTCTTTTTTGCTTCATACAGGGAGAGACCAATAGTTGTACCTTTAACAACTTTTAAGATCTCAGTTGCTACTTACCTAAGTATACTATACTTGAGTCCTGATGTGGCATTGTAGGATAAGTACTGGATTGTTAACCACAAGGGCACAGTTCAGACCCACCAGTCACTTTTCAGAAACCCTGTACAGGGTTACCATGAGTCAGAACTATCTCCATAACACTTAACAACAACAACTCACCTAAGTAGGATGTAGGACATTGTCTTTGTGGAAAAATGATAGTTTCTTATTGCATCCTTCTCTAATTATTAACTGATATTTTTCTATAACACTATCTCCTTTTCTTCTTTCATAAATTGCTCTGAAATTAGTTTTTAGACTCAGATGGACTCATTCCCTTTAAAATTATAAATTATTCAGTATGCACAGAAATTTAATCTTATCATTTATTTTGATGCCCAAATTATTCTGAATTTGACTAGTAAAAGTCTTTTTGCTTCTTTTTTATGTATTCTCATCACTTTTTTTTAATGTACATACAGAGAAGTTTATTATTTTACAGTTGTAGAGTACCAGGTTCCAGCAGAAGAGAGTGAGAGTCCCTCCCATGTGTTCATTCTATTGGGAACTGGCCACACCCCCAATAAAGCATCCCTTCAATTGACTGATTACTCATCATAGAGTTAACTATGCCTATATTAGGTGTCATCACCATGGGAATAAGCACATCCCAACTGCTAAACCTCTGGAAATTCTGATTTAGTCAGTACCCCCTTGTCAACTTGAAACCTATGACCTTATATACATAATCTTGAAATAAAGAGAATTGTAAAGTCATATTTGCACCTAACATGATATAACTAAAACACATACAACCAAAAATGCACTGCAACCATTTACAACTTGTATTTCACAAATGAATAAAGCAAAAATATTTGATGCACATAGGCAAAACAAAACATAAAATATATATTGATTCAAAAGTCCAAAGGGCACATTCTGCAAGCCAGCCTCCTTCCCGTAGGCACACAGCTGTATTCAGGCCATGGGCCTAGGGTCCATAGCAGCTCTGTCTTTCCATGGTACCGCCTTTCCATGCTACCATCTCTGCTGTTGTTGCTTTTCCAGGCAGGGATGCCAGGCTCCACTCATACTCTTGCTTTATGATGGTCCTGGGATCGTCTGTTCCCATTTAGTTACACATCTTCTACAATTATAGTTGTGACAATCACAATTAATCCTACTAACAATTACTCATATTTGATATCATAAAATCCTTTCACCATCATCACCCATCCCCCTTTCACCAGATCTATCTGGAAAAGAGGAAAACTAGTCAGTGGGGATCCTCCTTTGTCCCCAATTCTAAAACTAAGCACATCCATTAAAGCTTGCAAGTCGGCCACTTCATGCCTTTATAAATCTTTCCCTCCCCTCCCCCCCACCCCATTGTTGATAGTCAATGTCTAAATTGCCCATCCCTAAAGGAGCTCTGGTAGCGTAGTGGTTATGAATCGGGCTGCGAACCTCAAGGTCAGCAGTTCGAAACTACCAGCGGTTCCGTGGGAGAAAGATGAGGCTTTCTGCTCCCGTAAAGATTTACAGCCTCGGAAACCCTGTGCAGGGTTACTATGACTCAGAACTCACTCCACGGCACATAGCAACAACAATAACATCCAACAACAATAACATCAATCCAGTACACTGAGGAGACAGGCACGTTCCTTGATAAGAAGAAGCTTCCGTTCTGATTAGAAGTTTCAGCAATTGCATTTAGACGTAAAAGTCCAGTCTGAAAAATCTTTATCAACCCAACTATCCAGGCTAGGTCAGATGGGTACCAGCTACAAGTTTAGGAGTTCACATACACCTCCCTGCACTTCAAACCAGCTGACACCGTCACTCTTAGCCCTAGCCCCCATGGACTAGGTCAGTGCACATGGCCTCAGGTGTACACACAACTCCTTAAATTTCTGACCAGTCAGCCTTCCAGCTCTCTTATCTCAAAGTCAGCATGTGCCAACAGAGCATGTCTTTACTCAGCCCTTGGCTTCATTGAAGTATTTTCCCCAATTCCACTCACAGGCAGATCCAGATTGCAGATGACTAGGTGGTTCCCTTTGTCTTTCAATCCTAGAAGGGAATTTTCTCTGATGAACTGATTTTTTTGCCTTGATGCTTCCAAAACTCAAATTGCCAAATTGTCTGCTTTTTTATGTGCTTGAATCTCCTTTTCTGTTCTCCCAGCTGTCCTGGATTGGTCTGCATGTCTTTTCAAATGCAAATGTCCCAACTCTGAAGGTTCTGGGTGGAGCTCAGAATTCCACCTAAAGCTCCATACTCTACAAAGGCTTAAAGCAAAAAAACTACTAGTTCCAGATACATGCTAACTCCCCTTTTAGTAAATACATTAAGTGTAGGCTGAAGGCAGTCTTACAAGTGCTCTGTAATCATAATTCCTATCACACATATATTCTTATTTTGCAATAGGCAGGAGAAACCAATATCTACAAGACAGTCAAACACATAAACCTTTAAAAACACTCAAGTTCAATTTTTTAGATTAACCCTATTCATATACATATAATCTTGGGCCTCTGGCTAGGTGGATTACAGTAGTCCCTGATCCAGAATCAGCTCCAGGCAAATCCAGAAGCTGCTGCTCTCCCCTCCAATGAAATATCGTATCCCGTGCCCCTTCCCACAAAACGTCAAATTTTCATAGGTCTGGAGACATTATATTGTATACTGCTTACAGTGCAAACTGCTTAAACCAAGTGGGGACCATGTCTGACTTCCCCTAATTCCACAAGGGGAAAAGATGACCAAACTCAAAATCTGCCCAAGACTGATTCCTATGACGTGGAGGTCAGACATGCTTTCAGCCTCTAAAATTAGTCAAACTTGAGAACTAATTTGGTGGAAAACTCATCCTTTTGATTTTATTACTCTAGAACCCCACTCTCTTGGTACCACATGTCTTAGCTTGGGTTTTCTAGAGAAGCAAAACCAAGAAAACATATGTATGTATGTGTATATGAAGAGAAGTTTATTATCTTTAAAGTTGTAGAGCCCCCAGAGGAAAAGAAAGCCACCCATCACTTTTTAAGCGCTCAGTCACTCTGACAAAACAAAATGCTCCAGGACCAATTTATGCTTCCCCCGCCCCAGCATTCCTCCAAGGAGTCAGGCTCCTGTTAATGGAGAAGGAAATATAGACACCAACACCTGGGTGCTACTGGGGCTGCCATGCTTTTTTTTGAAAGCATGAGGCCTTTTTGTTTGTTTTCATACTTCAACAACTGGATTGTGGCATTCAATGATTTTCTACATTTTTTTTTTTCTTTTCTCTAAAATTGTGGTAGTTGTATATGTAATAAAACTTTGCCATTTCAATATTCTGTGCATGTATGGTTCAGTGGCATGTGTTACATTCACCATGCTTTACCATCGTTATCTGTTTCAGAAGCTCAGTATCCCCTACACAGCGAGTCCCTCTGCCTCCCACCCATCCACACCTAGTACCTCCTAATAAACCTTAATAAATGTTTACTGATACTTGTAATTCAGTTTTCTTCCTCTCCTTCTGCCTTCCATTCCATCTTTCTATCACCCTTTCATTATTGAATATTAACTGAAACATTGGCCGTTTGAGCAACCCAATGGTTCTGTGGAAGGAAAGCTTGGAATTGTTTCCGTTAAGATTGCAGCCAAGGAAGCCCTCTGGAGCAGTTCTACTCTGTACCACATGGGGGTCACTAGGAGTTGGAATCAACTAGAAAGCTGTGGTTTTGGTTTTGTTTTCCCTACATTGGAACTGGCTCCTAACCACCTCAGTATATTTACTCATTTTCTCAGTCCTTGGTGTGCACGATAGAGTTTCAGTATTTCCAAACCTAGCGTAGTGGTTACGAATCGGGCTGCGAACCTTAAGGTCAGCGGTTCGAAACTACCAGCCGCTCCGCGGGAGAAAGATGAGGCTTTCTACTCCCGTAAAGATTTACACCCTCGGAAACCCTGTACAGGGTCGCTATGGGTCGGAACCGACTTGACGGCACTTAACAACAACAACAACAACACTCTATTACCAGCAACAAATCCAGTAGATAAAGTTTAATGTGTTTTTCTAGTTTGTTTAACATAAATATACATTTATGTTAAAAATATCAGAATTGATTTTTTAGTGTTCTTTCGGTGATACTAGATTTATAAGCTGGAAGTAGTTTTGTAATCAGCTAAAAAACACACTAAGGAGTTTTTAAAATGTGGGGTGTGTAGAGAGGTTATGTGTTATAATAGGATTAAAGGCAAATAAGAGTCCTACTGGGTGGTTTCCCTCTTCTGGAAAGATGCTTTGTCTCTCATCTTTCCAGGAAAGTGATAGGGTACCCCCATGCCCCACATATTCCCGCCCCCACAGTCGTGCTCTCTGGGTGCTCAGTTTCCTGTGTTGGAGAACAGAACAGTTGGGTAGAAGCACAGCACGTCCCCAGCCCTGTCCACACAATACTGCCATTCTAACTCTCTGTCTAATGGCTCTCCCCAGGTACTCAGACCCTACCATGTGGACTGCCTTCCTGGGACTGCATGACCAGAGCAAACGCAGTGCCCCTGGGGTGCAGGAACACAAGCTGAAGCGTATTATCAGCCACCCCAACTTCAATGACCTCACCTATGACTACGACCTGGCCCTGTTGGAGCTGGAGAAGCCTGCTGAGTACAGCAATGTGGTGCGACCTATCTGCCTACCTGATGCCACCCATGTCTTCCCTACGGGCAAGGCCATCTGGGTTACAGGCTGGGGACACACCGAGGAGGGAGGTGAGTTCCAGGCTGACCCTAGGGACCCCAGCCTCTAGCGCTTCCAGCCCCTACTGTCTGCAGAGACCCTGTGGGCAGTTTGTCTTTGTTGCTTCATTTCCCGCTTCTGTCAGGATGAGGCTATCCCACAACCTGTAGAAGCTTCTAGGGGAAGTAGCATGGCACTTGAAGGCAAGGCTCTGGTTCAAGGGCTGTTTTTATGCTTAACTGAGTGATACACAAGCTGCTTAAAAGTCTCTGATCCTATAATCTTAATGCATAAAATAAAGATGACAACACCTTTCCAAAGAATAAGAAAAAAAACATGGAAGGTCTAAGAGCCATTCCAGCCTTGCTGGTACAGGTCTGGGAAACTGAGCCTTCACTGCCACCTGTCCCATCTCCCTCTCTGAAGGGAGGCAGGCCATTCGTTGTTAAATGCTATACTGTATTTGAACCCTGGTATGGCACTGTAGGATAAGCACTAGACTGGTAACCCCAAGGTTGGCAGTTCAAATCTAACAGCTGCTCTCAGGAACTCTTTTTTTTTTTAATATTGTTAAGTGTCATCAAGTTGATTCTGACCCATAGCGACCCTGTATAGGGTTTCCAAGGAGCAGCTGGTGAGTTTGAACAACTGACCTTGCCGTTCAAACAACTTTGCAGTCTGATTGATGTATTAGCCCACAGCGCCACACCAGGACTCCATATACAGGGTCACAATGAGTCAAAACTGACTTGACAGCACACAACAACAGCATACTATATTTAATATTTCATTTATAAAGTTAATAAGCACTTAGCTGAAAATCTAGGAAAAAGGAAAATAACCTGACTTATCTACAAGTCCTGATGGCACGGTGGTCAAGTGCTTGCTGCTAAACCGAAAGGTTGGTTGTTTGAACCATGGGAGGACGATCCAGCAGTCTGCTTCTGTGCAGATGGCCACCTAGTGAGGCAGTTCTATTGTGTCCCTCAGGGTCACGGTGAGTCAGAATAGACTAGAGGGCAGCGGCCTTGGTTATTCTGGTTTGGATGACTGTACCCCCCAACCCTAACCAGTGAGCACTCTGTGGTCTTTCAGCCTTTCTGTTTCTGATTTTCTTGCATGCCAGAGTATGTGTAGGGGCTCGTGTCACTTGGCATGATCGTTGCCATGCCACCTGGCTACCATACTTTGTCGAGTTAATCCCATTCAGGGGGTGTGTCCTCAGTTACTGAACCATTCTCCACCTCAGGCATTTGGGGTGTTCCCAGCATTTTGCTACTAAAATTACTGTTCTGGGGAGCATCTTGAAGAATGCCTCCACCCACATGACATTGTGTCCTCACTGTGGGATTCCCTCCTCACCTTGCCCCTGTCCCCTCCCCAGGTTCTGCTGCACTGGTCCTGCAGAAGGGTGAGATCCGTGTCATCAATCAGACCACCTGTGAAAGTCTGTTGCCGCAGCAGCTCACTGCCCGCATGATGTGTGTGGGCTACCTCAGTGGGGGCGTGGACTCCTGTCAGGTGGGCGTGGCGCCGAGAAGGGGTGATGACTCGGGTGGGTGGGAACGTGGAGTACATGGGGGGAGGATGTGACCCACCAAGTTGGCAAGTGGCCAATGCCTCCACCTTTGGAGCAGGGTGCCCCCACAGGGTGGGAGAACCTCTAGGACGGATCCTGGTGGTTTGGGGAAACCTGGGCTGATGGGGCTAGGGAGATAGTGGGTAGGCCACTCATGAGGAATAACTGGTTCCTTCTCAGGGCGATTCGGGGGGTCCCCTGTCCAGTGTGGAGGCAGATGGACGCATTTTCCAGGCCGGAATTGTGAGCTGGGGTGAAGGCTGTGCACGGAGGGACAAGCCTGGCGTGTACACAAAGCTCTCGATGTTTCGGGACTGGATCAAAAACCAAACTGGGGTGTAGCAGCCTGTCACCCATGGACCACTCCAGCATGCACACCTACAGACTGAGGACAGTGACAAGCCTGCATCCCCAGGGGACCCCCAGAGCCCAGACTGTGAACTGAATCCTTGGGACTCCTAGGGGGAACCCATAGGTGGTGAACCTGCTGGAGGACCACTGCCTCTCTTGGCCTCCAAGTGGGGTTGGGAGGAAGAACACCCTGGAAGTGGTTTGAAGACTCGACCCTCGGCTGGCCACAGTGCTCCCCTGGATACCCACTGTGTCTGCCTCTGAGGAGCAGCTGTAAATTTTCCTCCTTGGCCTCTTTGGATCTTGAGGTCCAAGGTCATAGTCTTCAGAAGACCTAGACCAGAGGACCCTGGAAAGTAGATGGCGCTAAGATTTGAATGACTTTACAAGTTCCTGGGGTGGGTGCGGTATATGCATTTGTGTGTATGAGTAAAACATTTTATTTCTTTTTAGATCTTTTTTTTTTTCTTGGTATTGTTGCTGGGCTCTCCCGCCTCACAGTCCCAATGGCAGGGATCCCAGGTTAATTCCCCTGAGCACAACCCCTGGAGTCAGGCTGAGAGCCTAGTGCCCATTCTCCAAGTCCGCCTAGGATATGTCTTCTCTTATCTGTTGTGTCTGAGATGTCCTGCCAGGAGGGGCACATGGTGGGAAGAGGGTTCAGGTTACCCAGGAGGCACAAGATGTTGGGTTACAAGGAAGATGGGTGGGAACCTGGTTCTCCACTAAAGGAGAGGCAGTCACGTGAACAGTGTGTGTACATGAATTGTGTTTCCTGGGGTGGTTCAAGGGGACAGTGTTAAGGAGTTGGAAAGGGTTAGGGAGCTCTTACCCTGGGACTTTTTAGTGGTCTCTTGAAGGACATGAGAAGTCTCCTCTCTACTAAGCCCTGTAGTAAGGAGAGGAAAAGAAAGTAGGAGAAGGAAACAGGTGGTCACTATCATGAAGGCGGGGCAGTCACTGTCATCTGTCTGCTGCCTCTGTGTCTCAGGGCTCAGGCTCAGAGGGGATGATGTCTGAATGGTCTTTGTCTTACATAAATTGGGGAAACAAAAGGGAAGAAAAATGTGGTCTACTTGGCACAATCTGGGAAGACTTCTTGGAGGATATGGGGTTTTAGCTGTCAAATTTTAGCCTGAATGTTTTGCCCTTTAAGGGAAGAAGAAATATTGTCTTACAAACATCTGTGCTGGATTTTTCTGCTGTCTTCAGGGACTCAGGATATGGGAAGGGAAAGAATATCTGTTCTTAGCAAGATGTGCGAAGTAGGAAGAATAAAGATGGCGTTAGCAGACTCCTGTGCATATCTCTAAAGTATTGTAAGTGACAGGCCTTTCCTCCTCTGCTCTGGTTGTCCTGTCGGAATGTCCCAGTGTCAGTGCTGAGCTGGAGGCTGCAGTAAATGCAGAAGTGCCTTGTGACACATGAGGGGTCTGGTTACTAAGTCAGGCAGGACTTGTCCGGTTGTGGATGAAACTTCCCTCAGTGTGCTCAGGGAGGTCATACCAGCCTGGGACTCTCCAGCACCCCATTCCTCCTGTGGCCTGACACCCTCTCTAGTGCAGACAGAGAGACAGGGTCTCAGAATCAGAAGCCTAGTGTCCCTCTGAAGCTCTGTTCCAGGCTGGCGTGGCTGATCCGACTCATCATTGCCCACCTGGGAGCATGTTAGAGAACAGGCGTCTAGTTCTCCAGCAGTCTGAGTGATTGTACTGGAGTTGCTGTTGTTGTTGCTCAGTGCTGTCAAGTCGGTTCCAACTCACAGTGAACCTGTATAGGGTTTCTGAGGAGTGGCTGGTGGGTTTGAGCTGCTGACCTGTCAGTTAGCTGTCAAGTGCTCACTCTACAATGCTACACCAGGACTCTTAGGCTTCGTGTGTGGGGTGATCTCAAAGCAAGGTCCCTTGTTTAAATTCTCAGGCCTTACCCAGACTTGCGGAGTCCTGGTGTGGCGCTGTGGGTTAATGCACTGGACTGCAAGGTCAGCAGTTCAAGTTCACCAGCCACTCCTCAGAAACCCTATACAGTGGCACTATGGGTCGGAACCAACTCAACAGCACATAACAACAACTCAAGACTTTCAGAATCAGAAACTCTGGGGTGAGGTCCAGCAAGCCATCTGGCTGATTCTGATGCACACTCAAGTTTGGGAACCACTGTTCTATCCATGGTCCTCACCACTCAGAGTGTATCCCTGGATTAACAGCATCAACTTCTCATGGGAGTTTGGTAGAAATCAGTCTGTGGGCACTACCACACATCGGTACCTAGAGTGGGCCCTGGCTAGTCATGTACACATTAGAGTTTGAGACACACAAGTCTGTGTTATTCTAAAGCTTCTTTGGTGATTCTGGGGCAGGTTTGGGGCAACGATTCTAGCAGGTGGGATATTGTTCTGTTGAGGGTAGTGGGAGCAGCCCAGATGACATGGAGAAAGTGAGACCCAGTGTAGGACCAGTGAGGTGGGTGATATACTCAGTCCCTTGTAACATAACCTTGGTGACTGCCACTCACCCAGCCACAATTTAGCTCCAACTTAGGTGGTCTCCTCATACCAAGAATTGTACTTACAGGTCACTGGGTCCTGATGGCCTGGTGATGTCACCTCTGCACATCTGCGTGAAGTTAGAGAAACACTGGATGCCTGGGAAATCAATAGCATGTTGATGCTTTAAAGAAATGGTGGAGGTTGGGAAAATCACAGTTTGGGATGGCTGGTATGTGTGTATGAAAGGTTGCATTTGTCTTGAAATCTGTATATAAACTCGTTGACACTCTTCCTTTCCAAAGGGGAAGTTTAATTCTTCTTCCCTTGAATATGAGTGGGATTTAGCCTCTCATTTCTAACAATAGAATGAGGCAGACATGATTGTATACAACTACCTAGGCTAGATCCTAAAAGACATGAAGGCATTCTTCTTGCTCCCTCTGGGATCATCCTGCCCTATCATGAGGACATTCAAGTAGTACTCTAGAGGCCTCCTGCCCACAGCCAGCACCAGCTTTCCAGCCACAAGGGGGAGTTACTGTTGAGGAGAAGTCTGTAGCCCCAGTCAAGGTTTCAGTTGGTGAAACGCCAACTGAAGTCTTGACTGCAACCTTGTGATAGGTTCCAAACCAGAATCACCAGCCAGCTACAGAAACTGTAAGATAATAAATGTTTGTTATTTTAAACTCTCCTCCCACATACAAAATAACTGTGGAGCTCAATTCAGTATTAACATCTAACCAAAGTTAACAAGATGAAGGTAAGCAACCTTAACTAGTGGGTAGTTAGGCACCTCACTTTTTTTTTTTTTTTAAGCTTTTTATTTTGGATTGAGTGAAAGTTTACAGGGCATATCATCAGTTTTACATTCAACAAATCATATACCTTGTTTCATTACATTAATCATAATCCCCTCCATGTACCATCAGCTAACAGTATTTCTATCTACTTTAGCTTTTTTAAAAAGCAAACAACAAAAATACCCCACTCAGGCTTATATAATAATTTACATCTCCAAAGGGTACATTCTGCAAGTCTGCTCCTGGACACCAGCTCTTAGTTCTTCTCGTTTTAGTCCATGAATCTAGAGTCCTCAGCCACTCCCCTTCTTCATGCCCCAATCTCTGCCTCCATCTCTGGTGCTGCTGCTTCTCTGGATAAGGTCCCGCATTCTGCCTGTGTGTTCCTCTCTTGATGGTCCTAGGGTCCTCTGATTCTGGACTATAAGATTAACCACTCCCCTTTTTTGTTACAAAACTGCTACCTTTACAATTGTGACAGTCACGATTAGTCATGATAACAATTATTCACCATTGAATCTTATGAATCTTATCCCCATCTCTTTTCACCAGACCCATCTAGACAAGATGATAGCTATTCAGTAGGGACTCTGTCTTTCCCCCCATACTCTTAAGCTAAACTCCCCCTTGAAACCTTGTAAGCTAGTCACTTCATGTCTTTATTGCCCCCTCATTTTAGGTAGCCAATGTCTAAGTTGCCCGTCCCTATATACCTTGTGCTCAGAGGGGATAGCATTGATACTTGATGTGAAGATTCTTTCTCTCTCTGTTGGTTTTTAGAGCAACTACCTCTCTGAGTATAGGTCAGGTTCATCATGAAGATGTATCTTCTGTCACTGTAGCTGTTTCAGTATGCTTGTCCTTTCTAGTGGGAATGTCTCACCTCACTAGGTTGTGGATGGGACTCAGGATTCCACCTAAGGTCCTATACTCTGTAAAGGCTTTGCACGAGGCCTAGTTCACTGGGCA